TAAAAACAAAACACTTTTGTTCATTTATCTTGTGAGCCCACGTAATTATAATGGATTGTTTCTGCGGTCGCCAAAGAAAATTTATCTAACTTGACAAACATATTAAAAAAGGCGGGGGGGGGGGGGGGTAAACTCTCTGAGCAAGACGATGTTTGTGTCCTTGTGTGTATCCCGGTGTGTAGAATCCGAACCGGTGTGAAGGAAGGCACACTTTTCGGAACTAGTTTTCATGGGACAACTTTTCGTTCCGTGTAGAGGTTTATCTCTTCAATGAGCGAAGCGTTGTCCCGCGAGAACCTGCCCTGGATTTATAATGAGAATTTGTTTCGTGATTTATGTCGTTCTGTTAGTAAATTGGGTTTAAAGCCTGTTTCCTTTCTTCACTGCTGTCAACACCACGATATTTGGCTCCAGGTCTGTTCGTGTGTATGCTTTACGAAATACGCGTTATTGTTTTTTTCTTGTTTGCTGGCCAATTTTTTCTTATTTCCTGTGTTCATGGCGGTCAAAGTAGTTGCTCGATTTCACTCCCTATTAATTCTGTTTCTTTTTATTTTTAAACTGTCTTTAATGTCCATGGTAGCAGAAAATTTATTGGATTAAGACGGGTGATTGATCACGAGTAATTCCGTTGAACAAAGGCCACTTGTTCATCCTGACCACGATCACGGGTAATTACGTTGAACAAAGGCTACTTGTTCATCCTGACTACGATCACGGGTAATTACGCTCAACAAAGGCCACCTGTTCATCCTGACAACGATCACGGATGATTACGATGAACAAAGGCCAATTGTTTGTTCCGATGAAGTTGCACTTCCTCCTCCTGGTCCAGTAGTCGATGTCTAGGAGAGTGAGTGAAGTGAGGGAGAAACAGGTCACCTTACACACACACACACACACACACACACATTAAGTGAGAGAGAGAATAGGAGTTACTTAAGGATTATTACTAGAACCACTGCTATTCCTAACATAAATGAATGATCTGCCAGAGGGAAATACTTGTCTTGTTTCCTGACAGATCTTACTTAACCTAACCTAAGAGCTGATTATTGGGTCCTATGTGTCACTGTGGATAATGAGAAACTAAAGAGAGGAACAAACGGTTTGAATTAAGAGAATCAGGGACACGGGTGACAGCTGAAGACACAGATGAGCCAAAGGGATGTAAGCAGGTATTTCTCCAGTCTCAGCGTGATTGAAAAGTGGAATGACTTGGATGACGCAGCAGTGGTGACGAACTCAATACACAGCATCACTAGCAGATATGATAAGGTCCACGAGACCAGAGGTCAGTGATGCAGAGCAAACTGGTCGAGGAGACGGGGCCAAGAGATGAGTCCCGACTCTGGCAGATTCAACTTAGAATACAACCCTGTGAAGACAACTTGTGTGAGTACAACCCGATGAAGACAACTTGTGTGTGTACAACCTGGTGAAGACAGGTGTGAGCAGTAGACTCACACCGTTATTAAAGCGGGTACTGACCTCCGCATCATGTCCGCTGAGTATCATGTCATATTCTTTTACATTTTTTTACCCACTAAGGTCGTCAGGTTGAGTTCATTTAATTTCTCCTTGTAAGCTAATTCTCTCAATTATGAAACAGTGAAGTCAAGAAGCACAAGGCAGAGGTGGCTAGACTTCACGGAGACGGCATCCACTTTTTTCAAAGGTTTATATGCACACACACACACACACACACACACACACACACACACACACACACACACACACACACACACACACTCACGAAGCTAAGCGATGTTTCCCTATACCCCGGGGCACCAGGCTCGTTTTCAAAGTTATTTCATCAAATCCTGCCACATGCACGTGGTAAAGTACTGGTAACTCTGATACAGAGTTTGCAGGTTCGAGTCCTGCTGTGGATGTAGAGATAATGTTTGTAAATAATTTCGCCTGTTTGCGAATTGTTAAGTATTTCAAATCTCTTTCGTTGTCCACTGCATGTGGCAGGATTCGATGAAATAACTTTCAAAACGAGCTTGGTGCCTGGGGGTATGGTGCCCGGGGGTATGGTGCCTGGGGTTATGGTGCCCGGGGGTATGGTACCTGGGGGTATGGTGCCTGGGGGTATGGTGCCCGGGGGTATGGTGCCCGGGGGTTTGGTACCTGGGGGTATGGTGCCCCTGGGGTATGGTGCCCGGGGGTATGGTGTAACATCGCTTAGCTTAGCGTGTTAGTTACTATTTTGTCAAAGGCACTTGTCGATAGGACACTTGGCCTGTGTGTGTGTACTCACCTAGTTGTGCTCACCTAGTTGAGGTTGCGGGGGTCGAGTCCGAGCTCCTGGCCCCGCCTCTTCACTGATCGCTACTAGGTCACTCTCTCTGAACCGTGAGCTTTATCATACCTCTGCTTAAAGCTATGTATGGATCCTGCCTCCACTACATCGCTTCCCAAACTATTCCACTTACTGACTACTCTGTGGCTGAAGAAATACTTCCTAACATCCCTGTGATTCATCTGTGTCTTCAACTTCCAACTGTGTCCCCTTGTTACTGTGTCCAATCTCTGGAACATCCTGTCTTTGTCCACCTTGTCAATTCCTCTCAGTATTTTGTATGTCGTTATCATGTCCCCCCTATCTCTCCTGTCCTCCAGTGTCGTCAGGTTGATTTCCCTTAACCTCTCCTCGTAGGACATACCTCTTAGCTCTGGGACTAGTTTTGTTGCAAACCTTTGCACTTTCTCTAGTTTCTTTACGTGCTTGGCTAGGTGTGGGTTCCAAACTGGTGCCGCATACTCCAATATGGGCCTAACGTACACGATGTACAGGGTCCTGAACGATTCCTTATTAAGATGTCGGAATGCTGTTCTGAGGTTTGCTAGGCGCCCATGCTGCAGCAGTTATTTGATTGATGTGCGCTTCAGATGTGCCTGGTGTTATACTCACCCCAAGATCTTTTTCCTTGAGTGATGTTTGTAGTCTCTGGCCCCCTAGACTGTACTCCGTCTGCGGTCTTCTTTGCCCTTCCCCAATCTTCATGACTTTGCACTTGGTGGGATTGAACTCCAGGAGCCAATTGCTGGACCAGGTCTGCAGCCTGTCCAGATCCCTTTGTAGTTCTGCCTGGTCTTCGATCGAGTGAATTCTTCTCATCAACTTCACGTCATCTGCAAACAGGGACACCTCAGAGTCTATTCCTTCCGTCATGTCGTTCACAAATACCAGAAACAGCACTGGTCCTAGGACTGACCCCTGTGGGACCCCGCTGGTCAGGGGTGCCCACTCTGCACCTCGCCACGTACCATGACTCGCTGCTGTCTTCCTGACAAGTATTCCCTGATCCATTGTAGTGCCTTCCCCGTTATCCCTGCTTGGTCCTCCAGTTTTTGCACCAATCTCTTGTGTGGAACTGTGTCAAACGCCTTCTTGCAGTCCAAGAATATGCAATCCACCCACCCCTCTCTCTCTTGTCTTACTGCTGTCACCATGTCATAGAACTCCAGTAGATTTGTGACACAGGATTTCCCGTCCCTGAAACCATGTTGGCTGCTGAGATCATTCCTTTCTAGTGTGTGTGTGTGTGTGTTGTGTGTGTGTGTGTGTGTGTGTGTGTGTGTGTGTGTGTTGTGTGTGTGTGTTGTGTGTGTGTGTGTGTGTGTGTGTGTGTGTGTGCGTGTTTGTGTGTGTGCGTGTGTGTGTGTGGATTGCACCAAGTATTTCACTTTTATTCAGTATGTCACACACAACCACGCACGTTACATTCCATCCATAATCAGCCAAAAGCCCGGTAGCTTTTTGTCAGGATAGATGTCGGAGCTCCCGCCTACATCCGCGGACAACTGCCAGTTGTAAAAGTCAGCTATTGAGAGTGAGGGGAAAGGGTTAGAGCTCCAGGTTACTTGACCTTATAACTACATCCAGGTGTGGTCAGTCTCTTACTAGCTTTAGGCTGATTAGCACTGAGCTTTGTCACTATTTGAGTATATAAGTTTATTCAACTGAACGTACTCGTTCTTGCTCTCTCTCTCTCTCTCTCTCTCTCTCTCTCTCTCTCTCTCTCTCTCTCTCTCTCTCTCTCTCTCTCTCTCTCCCTCTCTCTCTCTCTCGCTCTCTCTCTCTCTCTCTCTATCTCTCTACTCTCTCACCTTTTTATTCAGCTTGTATTACAAACATTATTGAACATACTGTAATTAAGTGCACACAACTTTAACGATGGGAATATACAGGTACTCAAACACAGCCTCTGGTTAATGTTTTTTACGTAAACTTTATTGGACGGATTTGCTAATGGCTTCTGATTGTGTGTGTGTGTACTCCCTAGTTGAGTGTGCGGGGGTCGAGTCCGAGCTCGCTGCCGAGCTCCTGTGTGTGTGTGTGTGTGTTGTGTGTTGTCTGTGTGTAGTGTGTTGTGTGTGTGTGTGTGTGTGTGTGTGTGTGTGTGTGTGTGTGTGATGTGTGTGTGTGTTGTTGTGTGTGTGTGTGTGTGTTGTTGTGTGTGTGTTGTGTGTGTGTGTGTGTGTGTGTGGAGCCAGTCAGACACTAAGAGGCTCCTCCACCACCTGACTGGTCGTGGTCCTCGTCAGAGGTGGTCGTGAGGTGCTTCATGTTTTGCACCCAAGATATGCTGGCTGGCTTGCCTTCATTCTTACCAGTCGTGTACTTCCTACTCTTCCCTGTCTACATACTCTTTCCATCCTCTTCTTTCCCCTCCTCCTCTTCCTCCTCCTTCTCCTCTTCTTCTTCCACAGGGGTAATGGCACCAGATGAGGATCTTCTTATAACTAAGATCAATGTCAGGGGATATTCACTGACGAATGAATAACCATCTTTCTCTTTTCCTCCTCCTCCTCCTCACTATTGTTACTATTATTATTACTGTTGTTGCTGTTATTGAATTGTTATGCAGCGCTGTATGTCCCTGCTGGATTTAGCTCTTAGTTTTGATTATAATTATAATAATAATTAAATTGTTATATTCGTTAAATCTTGTATTACTAAGAACATTTAATATTATTCTTATTTACAG